GAAGACGCTGGAGATATCGCCCGCAGCCTTGGTCATCGACGACGCCGAAGTCGACGTGGACGCGGCGCGGGCGGCCGTTTTTGAAAGAAACTTTGACATAGACATAATATCTGTCTTTCCAATAGGTACTTGGAATCTGGAGATCTCTGAACACTGGCAGACAGGACCTCCTGCGATTGATATACCTTCAGCTGGGGCGGAGTATTTGTCGGGAGTACCGAATACAGCAGTCGGTCCGATTACTTGATACGGTATTTCCCCGCCTTCCCCCGCAAAAGCGGCAAAGAGAAGATGCGGGAATGTTGCTCTTTGCGGGATCCACATCGCTCCGGGGTGAACTATTGCCTTCACTTGACGTTGTCTCACATCCCAGAGGCGAAAAATATAAGAAAGCTGGTTTGAGTCGCATACGGGTCTCGGTGCCACAGTTCAGACTAGCCATCGGACTTAACGATAGTCAATTGTTACAAGATCACCCTCCAGAGCAGGCCCGCCGCAACCGCCCTTGCAGTCCTGCGCAGAACGCTGTGGATCAGGTCTCGCTGCCAATGACTTCAAGCGGACAGATCGGCACTTTCACCGAGGAGAGCACCCCGAGAGTCAGCGGTCAGATTGACAATGATGACTTGTCCTCGGTCTTGTTCCGGGTTCCTACCACCTCCAGGGCTCTCGTCCTCGGTATAGTGATACAGCGACACGCCCATGGGGCAGACCCGGGTCTCGTATCGAGCCCCTCCGGAACAATTATAAAGTAGCACAGGGCCACTTGGCAGAAGCCAACAAGCCTTCACTTCCCACTGCAGACCCTGAACATCAATTCCGGTTCAGAATGTCCTTCGCCGTCCAAGGCCGATCTGCTATCGTGACGGGGGCAGGTTCAGGTGCGTCACGCATGGTATTGACCGATAAGCACACTTCACTAAGTAGTAATTGTAGGAATTAACCTGTCCTTCGCCAAGCTACTCCTCGAACATGGATGTAACGTCCTGTTCGCCGATCTAGCTCTCCGTCCAGAGGCACAGGCGATAGTGAATCAATACTCATCGAAGGCGAAGACGCCACGGGCCGTCTTCCAGCGGACCGACGTGACCGATTGGCAACAGCTCGAGCGCATGTTCGAGGTAGCAGAGCGGGAATTCGGAGAACTCGATGTTGTGTGTCCCGGCGCAGGCATCTTTGAACCGGTATAGTTTCCCTATACACCGACCCCAGTGTTCTGCATCACGCAAGGGGCAGTATACTGCAGGGACGTTCCGCTTGCTCACGCCAGATTTACATCACAGCATTGGACCAACTTCTGGCGTCCTCCAGGAACCCCTGAAAGCCGAGACCCGCGATATGGAGGTCGCTATGCCCTTCTCGATATCAACCTCACGCATCCGATTCGCACCACACAGCTAGCCATTGCCCATTTCCTGCGCCATGGGAATAAGCAGAGACGCAAACACATCGTTCATATCTCTAGCATTGCCGGTCAAAACCCCAATTTCGTCGCCCCGATCTATGTCGCTACGAAACACGGCATCAATGGCTTGGTACGGTCTTTGGCTGGCCTGGATCAGGAGTGCGGAATCCGTATCACAGCTGTTGCGCCGGGAGTTATCAAGACACCGTTGTGGACAGACCATCCTGAAAAGCTCAAGGTAGTGAACGAAGGGGCCGATGCATGGGTAACTCCAGACGAGGTAGCAGAGGTCATGTTGGCGCTTATCCAACAGGATAAGGTGAGCGGTATCATTGGGGATCAGAGTGGTCGTGGTCCCCAGTACCCAGTCAGTGGCGGAACTATCTTGGAGGTCTCCAAGACGGTTCGCTCGGTAGAGCCCTTTAATGATGCTGGGCCTGGAAATCGACCAGGCAATACGGTATCTGATAACAGTGCGTTGATCAATGAAACACTTGGTCTGCTATCGCAGCGTGGATGGGGAATGCCCAAGTTGTAGTTAGATGGAGATAGAGAATAAACTAATACTACTTTGGCTTTCAGGATGCTAAAGGCTCAAGCATTATCTAGTCGTGATAAATAATGTGAGCTAGCTTCGCGTAGGTTCAACTACTGGAACCGAGCAGGTGGCGGCCAAACCCCATCTCTTTCCTCTCTATATCTCGCATTGGCGGCCGCATGCAACCTGATCAGCTCCGAGGTATGCCGATAGGGCTTCCGTCTCGCCTCGCCCTGAAGATCGCGCTGAACCAACCGCGCAAACAATGTCGGGGCGATATGCTTAATGTCGACTTTTAGGGGTTGCAAAGCCTCAGGCTGAGCTCCAGTCGCAGCTCCGGTCCCGGTTCCAGTCTCAGTTCCAGGCTCTGGCTCTCGCTCTGTCTTTAACTCGGAATGGGGTGCAGGCTCAGCCAACCAGAGATATGGCCGTATTGTTTCACGCGAGCGGAACGCCTCGTCATCCACGTAGAGAAATACATCGCGTCGAAAGCCAGCAGGAATCTCGTTGTTTGAGAGCATTGTACTGAACTTGCTCCGTAGTGCACTCGGGTCCATGCTGCTATTACTACCTGGAACAGCCACCCAATTCAATGTGAACCGGTCTCTCGTTTCGTCCTTAATCAGTCTCGGTGAATAGTGTAGTCCGTGGTAAACAGCCGTTCCAACCAGGGATTTATACTCTGATAGTCGGCCTCCTTCGTCTTCTTCTTTCATGTAGAATACCACGAGACCAAAGCGACGACCTGCTTCCCCAGGGCCAGAATCAGAACCAGGAGCATAATCACGCGCTGAAGCTGAGCTGGATTGCAGTACGTGCTCCTGCCAAGGAACCTTCATCGCAAACCGAATATTCTTAATGTCATCATCGTTCAGCGCCTTGGCCGCCGCCAGTTCCACCTTTAGCCATCGCTGCTCAACCCTCTGCGCCGCCTCCCTAGCAGTCCGAATATTGTCTGTCGTCGCTGCTTTCATAGCTCGAGCCTTGAGGTCCCGATCTTCAGGAGAAAGGCGCGCCATCTCGAACAGGATATGGCCCGATTGTCCTTCGGCTACGCCGGCCGTTAAGAGACTGGCTTCTTTATAGCTCAGGCCAAGGCTGCTAAGAGGGAAGCCATCATTGTTACTGCCATTGTTGTTGCTGCTATTGATGGCTTTGGTAACGAGCTCGCCCATGGGCAAGCCGCAGGCATTTCGACAGAGGGTGTCTTCCTCGTCTGGTGGGGGGCGGTGGGTGATGAGTCGACGTTCTTGATCCGTTAGTGAGGAGGGGTTGGATATAGCGCGGTTGTAGAGGATGCGTGTCGACTCATCCAGGACTAAAGGGGTTCTGTCTACGCTTATGCTGAAAGGGTTGGTACCTCCAGCATCGATGGAAAACGACATGTTGACAATTATCTGATTATTCAAGAAGAAGAGGATGATTGTGTGCGGGAACTTGAGGGTAGCAGAGTTAGACCGCTGTGGTCTTATGTAGGGGTTGATAAATACTAAGACTGCATTTTGTTTTTAAGTTATAATGATACTATCATGAACATTACTATATACATGAGAATAACTAAGCATGACCAGGCTGATTATTTTGAGTTAATACCTACTCTATTCTTCCTTACTTAAATTAGACCCCAGTGTAACAATGTCAGAATATAATTTATTAGATTTGATTATGAGACTTTATGTTTACCTAAATAAGTAAGATAGAATGAGTGCCCAAGTTGTAGATAGATCAACGACATCCTAATTAACGTAATCAACGGTCGGACGGGCCACACGGTCAGGCGGGCCATCTGGTAATACTATACAAAAGATATCTTTTTAAACATAATATATCTCTACCATCCAGGTCTAGAAGAATTAGATTTCTTCTATATAGATTTTAAATAATATAAATAATATCTATATACCTTCTAAAAATGAATATACTTTTACTTATGGACTTATCATATTACAATATCTGTATTTATATGTATTATATAAGAATCTGGTTTCATTATCAAAGTAAAAATTCTAAAAATCTGAAAAATTCATGGAATACTTATTCTTATATATATAAACTATCTACAAAGTTAGAGCTTCATAGAAGTAGTACTGGTTGATATATAATAGAATCAAAAAGACATCTTTTATATGGGATTTCAGGATGGCCCGCCTGACCGTGTGGCCCGTTCGACCGTTGATTACGTTATGGTGTGGTTGGTTTGGATGACTCATGTCAGTTTCAGCCAAATTTGGAAACTCTTTCCACCCTCATGAACTTACCTTTTACTGTCTCATTCCTGTCGCCAGCTAGATACGAAGATAACATTACGTATTACTGGGTTCTACTGGGTCCTTTGAATGTGTCTATCGAATCAAAGCAAGCTAGCACTCTGCAGATTGCGCGAGGGCACTAAGAAATGGTGTATGACCTGTGCTTCAGCCTGGAGTAGTACTCCACTCACTGTCTCAGTCAGTACATGATCTTGCTTGCTGTCCTTTCCACAGCAGCAAATTTGTTTGAATTTGAGCAACAGTACGGATTACAGTGACTCTAAATCAGGTGTATCTTTACCTGAATATGTATTTTTTGTAGAAGGACATTCCAAGACACTTCCAGGTAGATAACTAGTAGATAATAGGAAGGTATAGTCATGACAATCTGGGGAAGAGTGAAGCCACCAATAGCGGAGGGCGATAAAAGGGACTGACTAAACACTAGTCAAAAGAGACTCTCCACCGCCTCCGCTCCTTCGGCGGCTTTTTGGATTGCGCTGTTCATTCCCTTCCCTTTTCCTTCTTCTTATCTCCGGATGTCTTTCCCTTCTCCAACCCCTCTTTTTTAATTTCTCCTTTAATTCTCCCTGTCCAACTGACTTCTTCGCTGAATTGTTCTCCATTCCTTACCCGACTTCCGAGCACATCTCCCGCTGCACCGCTGGTTCGAGTGGCTTCAACCGACTATGGTTGGTTGATCACCCGTAATCTTTTGTCGTGTGGCCACCTTCAATCCTTATCTACCGCCTCCAAAGATACTACCTTCTAACACCACTCTACTCTTCCTTCAACTTACTTCCTCACAATGATGGACGACGAAGCTTCCGTCGGGATTGGCTCCCCTCGAGCCGGTTCTCGAAGGTAACCTATACTATCTCCAATCCGGAGTATATCCCCAACTCTCAAGCCTTATCGCTGACAGGTACCCATCGGTCGCAGACACGGCGGTAAAGGGAAACGAAGCATCGGACATCATGGCGACGCCAGTTGGGTCAGCTGTGTGATCAACTTGGTCAACACAAGTGAGTCGAGCCGGAATACAAACAGTTACGCTCTGCGATCATTTGCTGACTCGCTCTCTGTTCTGGTTTGTTAGTTATCGGTGCCGGTGTTATGGCCATGCCGCTGGCCATCTCTCATATGGGAATCGTTCTTGGTGTCTTTGTGATTCTGTGGTCGGGAATAACCGCAGGTTTCGGTCTATATCTCCAGTCGCTATGTGCTCGGTACCTCGAACGAGGCACTGCATCTTTCTTTGCCCTATCTCAGATCACCTATCCTAATGTGGCCGTCGTCTTCGATGCCGCCATTGCGGTCAAATGTTTCGGTGTCGGTATCAGCTACCTCATCATCATTGGCGATCTGATGCCGGGCGTGGTCCAGGGATTTGTTGGAGGTGCTCCGGACTATGACTTTTTGGTGGACCGGCATTTCTGGGTAACAGCCTTCATGTACGCTGACTACTGCATTGAGTGCGTCGGACAGTGCTAACTGGTTTCAGGCTGATTGTTATCCCTCTCTCATACCTCCGCCGCTTGGATTCGCTCAAGTATACAAGTATTGCAGCTCTGGTCTCCATGGCCTATTTGGTGGTTTTGGTCGTATACCACTTCGTGAAAGGGGACACCATGGAGGACCGTGGTCCGGTTCGAGTGATTCACTGGGCAGGCCCTGTTCCTACCCTCAGCAGTCTGCCTGTGATTGTGTTTGCGTTTACATGCCATCAGAACGTATGCTCCGAGACCCACAATCCAGATCTTCACTTCCATGGTTCATTGCTCTGACGTGCACCCCAGATGTTCTCAATTTTGAACGAGATCGGCAACAACAGCCATTTCCGAACCACCGGTGTTGTCCTGGCCAGTATCGGCAGTTCGGCTGCCACTTACATTCTTGTGGCTATTACTGGGTACCTCTCCTTCGGAAACAGTGTCGGCGGAACTATCGTGAGCATGTACCCACCGGGTCTTTGGGCCACGATTGGCCGCGCTGCTATCGTTATGCTTGTCATGTTCTCGTATCCTCTTCAGTGCCACCCATGCCGGGCCTCCGTTGACGCAGTGCTGCGTTGGCGGCCCAAGTCCTCGTCCAATAGCGACACCTCCCCTCATCGGAACCCTCTCTTGGGGCAGAGGGGTGGTCGAACCGCGGAGCCGATGAGTGACCTTCGATTCTCAATCATTACAACCACCATTCTTGTCCTGAGCTACATTGTGGCCATGACTGTATCTTCCCTGGAAGCTGTTCTTGCCTACGTCGGCAGCACAGGAAGCACCAGCATCAGTTTCATCCTCCCCGGACTATTCTACTACAAGATCTCCTCCCCTGATTCGCCCCATCACCAGCGTTTAATGAAAGAAGATGACGAAGCAGCCGAGGGCATGCTATCCGACGATAGCAACGATGAAGACGGAGAAGAGAGCGTGCAGGCACGCCCCCTAACCGACAGCGGCATCCTCCGCCGAGGAAAACGTCACTGGCGCCGTTCCCTACTACGAAAGTTGAGTTTGGCCCTCGTAGTATACGGGGTGGTGGTTATGGTCGTATGCCTGATCACAAACTCTGTTTTCATTGCTTCTCACTAGACGGGTTTTGGTTTTGGATGCGGGGAAGACAAAAAGATCTGGATGCGATCCATTTCCCTCCACTAGCTTTTTGGCCCTCGTGTGTGGTGACCTTTTCCGCTTTTCTTACTAAATTTAGACACTCACTACCAACTCTTTTTTCTTAGGTTTCATTTCTTCGTTTCTTGCATCTATTGGTCTCTGATTTTTTTCGGGTTCGCGATCTAGATCTGGGCTCTCTTCCGTCCAACGGTTACAATGTTGGGGTTTATGCACGCTATACCATTGCACCGGCGTTGGGGTTTCGTGTTTGGTCCGGTTTAGATAACGTCTTAAACCTTGGAATACACTTTTCAATATAATGGTGTCATTTTTCTCATCACATTACTTTTTACATTGATCCGATCTATTCAACGTTGTCTTGGTTCCATTAGTTCCCATGTGACGATGTTCTTGGTTCCTTGCTCACTATTTTCCCATACAGATCAGAAGAAGAGATAAAGAACATGTTGAGTCATTCTACTTTTGAATACTGCTATAAGTAGGAAAGACTTATTGCAGAAAGTATTGTCACCAGTATTGAATGGATGTTAATCAACAGGCTTGTCTCAACGAGTGATGAGAAGTGAACAAAGAACAACGCAACTAAAGCTAAGCCGATGAAGAGTACAAGATCATCATTAAGCAATACCAGCAAGTCAGGCGAGGTATTTTATCATCGCATAAACATCACCCTCAAGCACGTTCCTCTACCACCAGCTGCAAGTAGCACAATCTGTATCAATTTCCACCACCCCACCCCACACCACATCCCCCATTCATCCCATCAAAACAACAACCAGGCCACCAACAAGTAACCTAGTTATTATTCTGACTATTCAAGATCCTCAGAATCGCCAAGAACAAATTCAAAATATCCAAATACAGCGAAATGCTCGCCGCAATCTCCTCCTCGACATGGTAATGCCTCATAACCAACTGCGTATCAACAAGAATATACGCCGAGAAGATCAGCGCCGCCAGGCCACCATAAATCAGCTCGACGGTGCTGTTCGCCGGGAAGAACACAGCCACGAAGCCAAACAAGATCAGGAACCACAGTCCACCGAAGAGGTAGGGCATCCAGTTCGTGAAGTCGTACTTGGTCTGGCAGGCGAAGAGGGTGAGAGCGACAAAGAGACCGAGAGTTAGGATGAGAGCTTGGATGACGAGACGGGCGTCATAGAAGGAGGTCACGACGCTGATGGAGTAGGCTTCGAGGAGGGTGAAACCGGATAGGAAGAGGAGGTTGGCCGGGTAGGATTTGCGCTTCCAGTAGGTGACGAGCATGAAGCCCAGGGCGCCGAAGACGGAGACCATCATAAGCCAGAAGTTGGATTGGATCCAGAGTCGGTAATTAGGGCTGAAGAAGGAAATGGAGCTGAGGATGGTGGTGAGGAGGAGTTGGGCCGTCCTGTTTTCATTTTCATGGATGGGTTAGTAGATGTGATTGATGGATACTGGGGGGCATAGGTAGAGCTGGTGATCTTACAAGATCGCATAGACCTTCCGGATGAACTGCATGCGGATGGGCAGGGTGCCCTCCGCGACGGTGCCGCCGAACTAATTACATTGACTGTTAGCATCTTGTATAGTCTGTGGAAGAATGTGGGTGAAAGTGGTAAGTTACCTTGAAATCATCAGGAACATTGTCGTCCTCGCTGCGTGGCGCTGCTTGCGAGTAGTCGGCCGTTGCCTGATAAGACGGCGGGGGTTGAGGATAGGCGCGCTCCTCGAAGGAGTCGCGCTGCGGAGCAGGCTCGTATCTGGTATTAGCTGCCATTTGCTACTATGATCGAAAGAGACTGCGATGCTCTCAGACAATTAAAATTGGATGAATGAGTCGATGGGACAGTCTGTCATATTAGATAGGATAGACTAATCGGGGAAAGGAAGGAGAGGAGAGGGTCGAGAACCGCAGCGGCGCCGCGGCTCAACGGCGCTCCGGGGCAGGTGACGTCGGTGGTGTCACCTGATTGTTCGTTTGTGCCTTAGGCATGTATTTACTATTGCCATCTAGTACGTTCTAGCATGATGTAAGTGCTGGATTATTTGTAATGCCCAAGATTGACTACGTTTGTGCTGTTGGATTGCACTACTTTACTACATGAAGTATGGGAATCCAATACAGGAAAGTTGGAGCTATTTAGGCTCATAAGAGTACTATAGTGTTGCCATTATGCCTATCATATGCCTCTATTATGTTTAGTATGTATCATATCTATCGTAATATATATGCCATGAAAAGAAATTGTGAGGCAAGTTGTCACCCATTAGTCACTGTCTGCGTCCCCTCTAGTTCCGCTCCTCGTGGAATGGAAGCGCTTCCATAATCACATCATCATCCAAGGACGCTCTGCCGTCGTGGTATTCATCGTCAGTGGAGTCATCCGGTGTATCCTCTGAGCCACGGAGTGGCTGATCCCCTGGATCTTGGCCTGGACGCTTCTTCCGCTGAAAGTCCTGTGCATGCGCTGAAGCCAGCAACGAGCCGACACGGGAGAGGCCGCGATTGCGGACCGACATGCCTGGAGTGGACGGGGTGCCATGCTCCACATCGTGTGCTTGCGGTTGCTGCTCTTCCAGCGGCACGCCATCTGCTTGTTGGTCAACCTGCGTTGGCGGGAGGGAGACCTGGTAGGGTAGAGGCACATCTCTGGACGCTCGGAACAGCAGAACGTTGGTGCAGTGCTCATTCTCTACACGGAAAATCGTCCAAATACCTCGTCGGCAGACTTCTGATAGCGCTACGAAGAAGCTGAGCAACGCGGAGTGCTGCAAATCCCTCGTGAAGATAGCATAGAAGATCCAGTTGAATCGCACGATGACGTCGATGACCATCGCAACATAGTATACCCATGCTTGACGGAACGCCAGGACGTCGCGCAGTAACGGACGCTTGGCGTAGGCGTTCCCCAAACTCCAGTCCATAACAAGGTCCCAAACCGAAACATAGACAGCGTTGAGCAGCGCGAAGGTGATGAACGTCGCTTGGAAGCGTTCCACTTTGTTGATCCGGTACAAGCTCAAAGTGACATAGTATAAAATGGTGAACGTGTATTTGCCAAAGTTCAGCAGATGCGGAAAGACGTTCCTTGTATCTGCGTAACGTCGTAGACACTGCAGAGCTCTCCAGATGCCCGGTAGGCAACTAAAGAATCCAAGCAGCCTGGAATGCGAAGAATTGCACTGGGGAGGGTCGCCCCAATGGTGTGCGTAGAGACAGAAGAATAATGCGATGTTCTAACGAAGATCAGCCACAACGTCTTCCTTGTACGAAGACCGGGTTACTCACACCCATGGCATATGTCTGGGAGCAATACATGTCTCCCAGAAAGAAGTCACGGAACTCGACAGGATAGAACCCTGCCAGAAGCAAGCGCCACTAGGTTCGTTAGCAGTGATTTGGGATCCGCCAGGGCGGTATCACTCACATTAGAATATGCCCACCATTTGCGGCTGCGGTGGTATAGCGTCCGCGCGGGCAGGAAAAGAAGGATTGTAGTCAAGCCGATAAGGACAACAGGCCAATAAATATACATGCTATTAATTGACATGAAGTTGAGCCACATGAAGAGACCCAGCAGAAAGAAGAAAAAAGACGGCAGCTGTTACGGTCAGACACAGTCAAACAGCCCACGATAAAACACCTTACCTCGGTAAGCTGGCGCCAGTCTAATGCATGCCTCGTATCATATTCAAACACAAAGACGTAGTTGATTTTGGCCCGAGTCCAGACCATACAGTCTAGGCAAAACAGTAAGAAATGGAGTACCACGAGGAAATAGCCAGCATAAATCTGCGCACAGTTAGCTAACAGCTGGCACTCGGAACAAAATAATACTGACCTGAAGCAAGTAGCTTGTGTGAGTCTTCACATCGCCATCCCGGTTACGAAGATTCTGCACCGCATATACTAATGACTGAGCAGCAAATAGGACACCACCCATCAAGAGCACACCGGCACGGAACGTGCATGGGGAGTAGTCCCCGGCCTTGTTGATAGTATGGCGCAATTTCGAAGCGGCGATCTTGCGGTTGCCGCGCTCGAAGTAACGAGCGTACAGGTCTTCTGCAGCAGACAGCAGATTCTCAGTGACCTCGCTTTGAACGAACCACGACTTGTTGACTTTCTCAGACATATATCGCTGCGCAGGACGCGCATTAGTAGTCTTGTCATATTTCTTGTTGATCTTCCGGAAAGCTGTCCTGTTCAGGTAGGCGTAAGCCTTCAGCAGCTCCACACCGCGATAGTACTCCTGAAGCGCATGCTTCAGCTTCCTTTTAGCGGAGCGATAAGAGACGTCGCTATTTGTCGGGTCTTCCGGCCGACGGATGAAATCCCGACGCGTCACTGTACGGTCGGGATCTTGATCTTGTCCCTGTAAGGCTGCTGACGGGGTGCCCAACTCGGCCAGGGCTTTTGAATTCTTCCCGAAGTGACGGCCAGTGAGAGCGCCGCGTATACCGAACCCAGCGAGGCCGCCAAGAGGGCCGAAAGTGTGAGACTTCTGCGTCCCTTCTTTCTCTGGCCGTGCCAACTTGGCACCTAGAACTTCCTGTGTGCGTTGGTCCCGCATGATATGCAGCTGATGACGAAGCACCTTGAGGCGCTCTGCAGCCTCCTGCTCCTTCATCTGATAGAAGGATTCTATTTTGGTCAACTCGCCATCCAAGAAGGCGAAGAACTCGTCCTGTCGCTTCTCGAACTCGGAAGATTCATCCGCTCCACGCTTCTCTGGGGATTCCCATTCCGGATAGGACAGGACGCGCTGAAGCAACGATCCTCTCCGGTTTGTAGGGCCTGAGATCGTATTCCGCTTATTATCCTTCTGGGGCGTTGCAGGACTCCGGTGAACCATGCCCTTGGTCGCTGTCCGTGTGCTCGCATGCCGCGACATCACCGGCGACGGAGTCTCGGGTATACTGGGCTGCTCTGTATCCCTCTCCGTTGAGTAGTCATCCTGCTTTGGGTCGATTGCGGGATCTGGCAGGCGAAGGGAGGCGACGTCCGACGATGCAGCGTTCAGCGGAGGGGAGGGGACGATACTTCCGTAGCTTCCAACGACGCCCGAAAACCGAGACCCGGGTACACGCAGGGGCTGACGCTCACTGCGGCTAGAGCCCGAGCGCGGTGAGCGTGGCGTAGGACCAGTGCTTCTTATAGGTGTGGAAGGAATGTGGGAGGGATCATTGGCATCGACTCTGCTACTGGAGCGTCGGAACGGGGACGGGCCATCAGAACCAGCAGAACGGTCATGTTGGTCGTCATGCGCGGAAGCATTGTGTTGTTGAAGAGAGGGATGACTGGGGCTTCGAGTCGTCTTTTGGAGAGCGCGAGAGATCGCTTTGACTTTCTTCTTGCCGGTCTAGACGGGGAAAAAAAGCAAGAGACCCGTTAGCATCCAAAATGAAGCCAGAAAAAGAAAAGAAAAGAAAAGAAAAACAGCAGCACGGCAACGGACATACTGACCTTATAATCTAGATATTTGGCGCGCCATTCTGGAACCAGTTGCTGTTCCAGCTCCCTATTTCGAATATACCGTCAGTTATTCTTGGATTCTATAGGACAAGCTTCAGGTAGATGGAGGGAATGTAACTAACTTGGCGAATTTCATCGTGAGCAAACGGAGCTATAGCCGGGCATGATACTGGACGCAAACGAGCAAACGGCGGCCACGAGGGTATATAACAGAACCAACAATCGCATTGGCGACGAGTCACGGCGAGAAACAAAACTGGCGTATCAGGACATATATAGTAGCTGGCAAACGAAGGATGAGAAACTTTCAGCTCCCGTAGAAGCAGCCGACGCCTCGAAAACTTTCTTTTTCTGCTCTTCTTTTCCTGTTCGAATCAAGCGACCCAATAGTTTGGAACCGGGACGGTCATTATCACCTCGATTACGAGCCGGACCAACAGGAGAAAGAGGAGAAAGAGCCAACCAAGACAGGGCACACAAGGGGCAGAAGCGAAGGGAACCAGGATGAACTCCCAATCGACGCAGGAAAACTTTGAGATACGATCGCACTCGTCATCGTGCGAGACAAGCCGATTCATGCCCTTCCATTTGGCAATCAGGCCCCAAATCGGACTGCGCAGGCATCTGATAGGCTGCGATGGCTGCACGTGCACGATGCAATGAGCTCATTTGCTCGCCGCCGGACTAATCTTCCTATTGGAGTTTGGCTTCAGGATGAACCCCGTTCCGAATACAGAAAATAGAGAGAATAGGGCCAGACCGCCTTTCGCCGCCCCCTCAGGCATCCCGAGGTTGATGTCTGTCCAGGTTCCATGGATAATCTGCCCTGCTTGGGTAATTACCCCTGTTGAGGGGGGTTGCTTTCTGGGACGCGAAATCATTCCGACAGGTGCAAGAGTTTCAATCGATATTGATGTGTTAGCTGACATCAAACATTGTCTTACAACATTGGAAACCCATGTGGGAGATGCGCCCGTCGCCTCCCGGACACCTTGCATCCATGCGTACAATAGACCCTTGCCTACGGTCAACGCATTGATAATCCGCGAGCTTTCCTGAACGGGTGGAATCCTGCATATTCGTCTCCAGGGCAAGATTCATGATTCTACTGTTTGTTTGGTATGGATGTGAAGGGAAAGATAGGCCGGGTTGCTTTGAGATAAATACTTCATTTGGATATCTTGGTTTATTAGATAAGAATGCATGCAGGAGAGGCCGTGTATCAGCGCTCTCAATCCATGATCATATTCGTTTCATTTCCACACATCCATCTTCGTGTCAACCCCCGCGGATAGGTCCCAAATCCAGTTGGTTTCCCATCACACACAAAGAGGCTTCTTACCAGCCACCACGACGGCCCTCGAAGCGGTCAGGGGGAGGGAAGCGGCCGGGGTCGAACTCGGGAGCACCGTGCTGGCGCTCGTAGTGCTCCTCGTACATGTGGTGAGCGTTCTTCTTGGCGTGCTCGCGGGCCTTGATCTTGTCAACTTCGTCCATGCCCTTGGTCTCGGCGAGCTTGTCGACCTCAGCGCCAACAACGGCGGCAAGGGCCTCCTTGGCGAAAGCGTGGCTGACGGTCTTGCCTATAGGTCAGGTGTGGTTAGCATGGCAAACTCCCCAGGGCTGAAATGGTTCTGAATGGGGCATTCATACCCTGCTTGCGCTGGTGGTCCTCCCAGGCCTTCATGCCCGCGAAGGAAGCGGCACCGGCAATGAGCTCGTGGGACAAGTGACCCTCGTGCTTGTTCTCGTACACCTGACGGTGAGCGTCGTCGGATTGGTCTAGAGATCCATGTTAGCTATTGGAGGCCCTGATAAACGTCGTGTTGGTGAAGGCACGAGGCCAAGGACAAGACAGGGGAACCTGGTCAGGCCAGATGGAAAGGTAAAAGTGTAAGAGGGTATGTAACTTACCCCAGCCCCAGGCCATGATGATTGATGTATGAAGTAGTGAAGAGTTTAAGGTAGAGTAGGAAGTAGAGTGATTGATGAGAGAGAGAAAAGAAGGACTCGATGGGAGGGGACAGAGCATCTTATATATGTGCTGCCTGGACAACCCTACTCAGCATCTTCAGCTCTCTTGGGGCGCCCCTCCATCGCCCATCCTCAGAGTGCCCCACCGTCTAATCTCACGGAAATGCATCGAAAGTCTTGGGGGCGTCGGATAAAGAACAATATGGTTCGCTCCCGACTGTGAAAGGGTGGATCGAGGGGAAGATCACATCCAGTGAAGGGAGTGGACACAGGCCAGCTGAAACTGCGCAAAGGAGGCAGCGCTTGGGGAGAATAGATGGATCGGGATTTGATTGGAACAAACCGTCGCTTAGACGCTACGAGAAACCGAATAATTGAGCGGCAGTGAGGGCGAGAAGCACCAAGCCACAGCCTCGTGGAGCGATGTGATGGGCACGGAATTGTCCAGGAGGGGCAGTCGAGGGGTAAGCTACTAGCCTCAAAAAGTTGAAACATCGGGTTCCAATCATGTAAGAGGAATCATGTATCTCCGGTTGGGGATCCGTGGTCACTTTGGGAGCATCAATCGTGTGCCCCTCTTAGTCTCAATTCTTACGGCCGAGGCAGCGACTGTCTACACCGCGCATAGGCTACAACGGTGATAGGCTACTATCTATCTAGTGACTGTTCCTGCTCTTCGTTTTGGGGGCCATGCAGATGCCCTTGCGTGTGTCTCCTGCAGGCCAGTTGGAGTCCTCACGGCCTGGAGCAACGACCATCCGGATCATCGCCTGAGCAGAGTGCGTACGTACGCGTCCAGGGTCGGAACCACGATGTTATTGCTGGGCGACTGGGTCGAGATGGGGATCTCCTCAGCCTTAAGTCTGGGCGAATCCATTCTGGTCCATTTAGCGCCGCAGCCACAGTTTGCCCAGTCTTGGCGGGCGTGAGATGAGCCGGTCGACCCGGTCAGCTTCTCGTCTTGGTGAGGCTTGTCTGAATATCAGGTGGAGGGTGAGTAATTCCCCCGCCTTTTCGGTGGTATCTGTAGTCTATCAACGGTGTATCGGGGGTGAGCTGTCACAGGCGAGTGTCAGGGACTTTAGTCTCAAACACTCCCAGCCGGCTTGAGAGCCTCCATGTTCACACCTAAAACTGGGATTCTATTTTGGGTCTCGGACAATCGGGCAAGTGGGCGAAATGGTGGAATCGGTGGAATTCCCCCCACTGCCATTGCCCGATCTGGTCACTTCCTCAATAGTGCGAATTAAAATGCCCCTCACTGTGGCGCAGTCACTCATCCCACCGCGTGGTGGCGGTGTGTGGCTTGGCTGATGCCACCTTTTCTTTCTTTCAAACACAATGTCTAATAATAATATCTCCGAATTAACTAAGTGTATTTGCTGGCTGAGAATATTATGTCGTCATAGTCACTGATGTGTTGTTTCACTTAGCCTTTGAGGTATTCGGTGAGAGTTGTGAATCTCTGCCTTTCTCATTGCCTCACTTGCGTGATATTCTTGGCTCCGGGAAAGTGGTGAGCCGGCAAATGAAATATACTTTCCAGCATGTGAATTATGTCCTCCAATGATGTGCATATGTTGTGTGACGGTATTGCACATGAATCTGGCATATACAAGAACTCTGTGCTATGCGTTCCATACTACAGTTCTAGAGCAACCGTGAATGAGAACGGATATTACTCAATAGACGCATGTCCTTTTCACTGTATCTCGCTGCCTTGTACGGCCTGATTGACTATACCCAAGTATCAAATTCAATGAGGAGTTGATAGCTTGAAATACATTCACGGCATATACGAGAGAGTACTAGAATGGGATTCGGGAATACCGAGGACTCATTCCCGCCATAGTAGTACTGTTAGAAATCCTTACTACCCACGACACTGTTCAATCTTCGTTACACTCACAAGTTACATGGAAACACCAAGCATAGTATCCCACTTGAGCTTCGTCCTTCGTTCTGTGACCTCATTTCTAGCCTGCGGCCCAGTGATTTCCCTCTCATTCAAATGATACATGACTTCGATCACACCCTCATGCCCATCTTCACTTCTAGTCCCTGCATATAGTGCCAAAATGTTGAAATATTCCTCCAGTACGTTTACTTTGGCTTATAAGAAGCTTTTCAATAACATCCAGAAAATTGTCAGAGAATATAACAACAGCAAGTAAAAGGAAGAAGTGAGACGGCTGTAAAAGCAAGTAGGGAGGGACAAGACCCTAAGGAAGTGAAACGCCTGGCAGGTTAACTTATGAAAACCTGGAAGGATGTCACTGTCAAATGGAAGGCAATGACCATGCCGATTAGGTCTGGAATAAAATCCACGCATAGCAGTTCTATTCTCTCTAGTGATATTATCAAGGAGATTGGGCTAGTTCCACCCCATGGCTGTTTTTTTAACAAATGATCAAGTTTGAGTTGTAATCACAAGAGAATATACAACACTTATAGACAAGCGAGGACCTTGCAGGATAACCAAATAAGCAGTCATATTAACTTAGTCAACTGTAGTGTAAAATCTGCACACATGCGTCGTTGCAGACTAGTTCATACAATCAACTGGACTAACAGACTGTCCACATATGCACTAGTCCCAAACAGGAAACTAACTGCTTGAGCTTCAAAACTCCAACCAACATTCCTCTTATCATTTTCTATATCGTTACTACTACTTGCTATAACAACCTCAAAAACCCTATACTTACTACGAGCGATACACAGATTATATAACAATTTTCGTATTACTATTCTCTACAAACACAATACACAACCACCACAACACTCCGAACTAAAACCAAACAACCCCGCCAACCTCACACTACTGTCTCCCACCACCACAACTACAACCACAAGACTCACACGACTTGACCATCTACAACTCCTGCTCCTTTCTCTAAACTACATCACTCCAAATCAAACCACAATCAAAATGCCTACCCCCCCAACCTCCTCGCACTTCCCCTCACACCTAACCCTAACCATCACCCCCCCATCATCCTCCTCCTCCACCACCTCTCAATCCTCTCCCAACATCCTCCTCCTCCTCCACGGCATCGGCGACACAAGCCAAAACCTCAGCACGCTCGCCCGCGCCCTCAACCTCCCGGAAACCACCATCCTCACCC